CTCTTTCTCTCTCTCTCATTCTCTTTCTTTTTCTCTTTCTCTTTCTCTTTCTCCTTCTCTTTCTCTTTCTCTTCCTCTTTCTCTTTCTCTTTCTCTTTCTCCCTATTTTTCTCCTTCTCTTTCTCTTTCTCTTTCTCTTGCCCTTTCTCCTTCTCTTTTCTTTTTGTCTCTTTTTCTTTGTCTTTTTCTTTCTCTTTCTCTTTCTATTTCTCTTTCTCTTTCTCTTTCTCTTTCTCTTTCTCTTTCTCTTTCTCTTTCTCTTTCTCTTTCTCTTTCTCTTTCTCTTTCTCTTTCTGTTTCTCTTTCTCTCTCTCTCTCTCTCTTCCTTGTTCTCTTCTCTCTCTTTCTTCTCTCTCTTTCTTCTCTCTCTTTCTTCTCTCTCTCTTCTTTCTCTCTTCTCTCTCTCTCTCTCACACGTCTCTCCCGTCTCTCCCCTCTCTCCCGTCTCTCCCCTCTCTCCCCTCTCTCCCCTCTCTCCCCTCTCTCCCCTCTCTCCCCTCTCTTCCCTCCCTTCCCTCTCTTCTCTCTTCTCTCTTCTCTCTTCTCTCTTCTCTCTTCTCTCTTCTCTCTTCTCTCTTCTCTCTTCTCTCTTCTCTCTTCTCTCTTCTCTCTTCTCCCTTCTCCCTTCTCCTCAAACAGAAAATATAAGTCTTCTCTCTTTCTCATCTTCTCTCTTCCTTCTTCTCTCTCTTCTCATCTCCTTCCTCTCTTCTCTCATTCTCTTCCTCTCTCCTTCTTCACACTCTCTCCTCTCTCTCCTCTCACCCTCTCTTCTCTCTCCTCTCTTCTCCTCTCAATCTTCTTCTCTTCTCTCTTCTCTCTCTCTCTTCCTCTCTTCTCTCTCTCTCTTCTCCTTCTCACTTCTCTCATTCCTTCTCTCCACTCTCATCCTCTCTTCTCTCTTCTCTCATCTCTCTTCTCTCTTCTCCTCTTCTCTCTCTTCTCTCTCTTCTCTCTTCTCTCTTCTCTCTTCTCTCTTCTCTTCTTCTCTCTTCTCTCTTCTCTCTTCTTCTCTCTTCTCTCCTCTCTCTTCTCTCTTGTCTGTTCTCTCCTCACTCCTCTCTCTTCTCTCTTCTCTCTTCTCTCTTCTCTCTTCTCTCTTCTCTCTTCTCTCTTCTCTCTTCTCTCTTCTCTCTTCTCTCTTCTCTCTTCTCTCTTGTCTCTTCTCTCTTCTCTCTTCTCTCTTCTCTCTTCTCTCTTCTCTCTCTTTTCTCTCTTTTCTCTCTTCTCTCTCTTCCCTCTCTTCCCTCTCTTCCCTCTTCTCTCTTCTCTCTTCTCTCTTCTCTCTTCTCTCTTCTCTCTTCTCTCTTCTCTCTTCTCTCTTCTCTCTTCTCTCTTCTCTCTCTTCTCTCTTCTCTCTTCTCTCTCTTCTCTCTTCTCTCTTCTCTCTTCTCTCTTCTCTCTTCTCTCTCTTTTCTCTCTCTTCTCTCTTCTCTCTTCTCTCTTCTCTCTCCTCTCTTCTCTCTCCTCTCTTCTCTCTTCTCTCTTCTCTCTTCTCTCTTCTCTCTTCTCTCTTGTCTCTTCTCTCTTCTCTCTTCTCTCTTCTCTCTTCTCTCTTCTCTCTTCTCTCTTCTCTCTTCTCTCTTCTCTCTTCTCTCTTCTCTCTTCTCTCTTCTCTCTTCCCTCTCTTCTCTCTTCTCTCTTCTCTCCTCTCTCTATCTCTCTATCTCTCTATCTCTCTATCTCTCTCTCTCTCTCTCTCTCTCTCTCTCTCTCTCTCTCTCTCTCTCTCTCTCTCTCTCTCCCCCCTCTCTCCCCTCTCTCCCCTCTCTCCCCTCTCTCCCCTCTCTCCCCTCTCTCCCCGCTCTGCCCCCTTCATGTCCCTGACATTTTCTCGGATTCTCCAGGTATGTCCCGTTCTTGCACTGCGAGTCATTTCCCTACATCTCCCGTCGCGCCGATTGGTTTCCTTGTGCTTTGTTTCCCTTTCATTTCCCTGCACTCCCCTTGTTTTCCTTTCTGTCCCTTTCATGTCCCTTTCAGTTCCCCTTTGTTTCCCTTTCATTTCCCGTTGCTTTCCTGTCATGTTATCCTCTAGTAAGTATCCGACACGCCGAACAATGTCGGCGGATATTGATTACTACAGATAACGAACTAAGTACTGAACTTAATATATATATATATATTAATAAAAGTATGCAAAATAATATTAGATTATACACACTAAAATATGTTTCTGCAAAATTTTCCGCAATTTTCCCTAAAACATTTTCTGCAAAGTTTCATAAATATTTTCTGCATTTTTTCATAGAGTTCAATAAATAAAGTTATACAAGTCACGAAAAGAATTCTATTTTATACATTATAAAACATTTCATAATATTTTTAAATATAAGAAAAACTATAACATTCAAAACAAACGTAAAATAACATATTTTTACGTGTTCTTTCTTGTACAATAAAAATACTGGCTACAACAGTTATAAGATGAGGTAATGAAATTTAATTTTTAAACTACAAATTTCTAAAAATACATATCATAATTGTAGATACTTTTCTTCTTAACTAAGTTATAAAGAAAATTACATTTATATAAATATGTACATATTTAAATTACCCTTTGTCCCATGGCCACTGTGCATTTGAGCCGATCTTTGGACTCCCAACGGGGCCTTCCGCGTGTCAGGGCCCAAGCCCGCGGCGCCTCTCCGTGGCGTCCGCCTCCGCAGCGACGTCGGCCGAGCCCCGAGACATGCGCGAGGAGAGGCTTGTACATGTCCCTAGGAATTGGGGCCATGAGGCATGACTTATTGTGGATGGACGAAATCCATTTTGCACCATCTTGAAACCATGGGACACCATTGTCCACGGGTATTTACAGGGGAAGTATTGCAGGGTTTCTGAGGTGGTGCAGGATTTCGTCCATATGGCTCCAGTTTGGGGTGGAACATCCATTTGCCATTTTGATGTTCACCAGGAATACAGGGTTTTGACCCACAGCCATTTGGGCCAGGGAAAGAATCTGACAGATGGCCTGTAGTTTAGGCGGCGTTTGGACGCACCACCCAAGGAACCTTGGTTTAGGGAGGACACAACGGGCGGGACAAGTTCAATTTCCCGGCACGAATCCGGGGTACAGGTGTTTTTGTTGGCCCTCACCGCAAAGGACCAGGAACAAGGTTGAGATGAGTGCCTTGCGGTTTGCGAGGTTCGTTTGTCGTATCAAGGCAACCCACGTTGGGGCCAACACTTGGTTTCAAGGTTTACTTTTCCCTTGGGACCGGGATGCACATAAGGAGTTTTGGACCATGGACCAATACAGTTGAAGCCACGCCCAGTCCTTCCCTCCACAATAGGTGACCTGGGTTGGCACCTTTTACTCGGTATAGTACACGCCAATGCCATTTCTCCATTTACGCCACCCTTAATCGGCCTGAAAAGTTGAGTGACGGACAGTTGCATACTAGGGGTTGCTTTCAGTGCACGAGTGCATGGGTGGTGAACAACATGCAGATGTTGGATCCCTTTGTTTTTAGGTGGGCCAACATACAAACGAAATGGTCGGTGTGCTTTTTCACAGCCTCTCGTTTGTTTTTTTTCCAAGCAAACCCGGGGCACCCAAAGCCCCAGCTGCCCTGACTGAGAAGTCGCACAGCGACATCGTGAAGGAGCCCTCTGGGTGGATTTGCTTTGTGGCGATCTCCCCAGATGTTGGATGGGGACTCCTCATCTTGGAAGTGTCCCACAGGTGGATTTCCTCCCTGTTTCGCGTCGAAGCTGTTCCAGAGGGTTCCCTGGTTCGAGATGCCCAGTTGTAGCATCGGGTGCCTATGATCCTGGGTCCTGCTAATTGCCGCCTCTGCAGCTTTACGTCTTGATCCCCGAGCAGTCTTGAAACCCCTTCCAACACATCCCGGGACCTTGAAACAAAATCAACACATGGAACGGCTGGGTATCTATCTGCAACAAATTCCTCCCGCTTGACCACAATACCTTGGGCGCCCTTTGTGACCGCAATCTCAGTTTCTCGGCGTCCGGCCTGCTTCCGGAGTTCGGCCGAGCCCGAAGCCCGATTCGCCCCCTTCGGCCGAAGGCATGAGCCTGGATGGTCGCAGTGGCCCATTTTCGGTTCCAAGAAATTGCAAGGTTCCATCTTTGTAGGTTCCATTTTTGTAGGTTTCCTTTCCTTTTCGCCCTTTCAACCGCATGCAGACAAGTTGTAGCCATCTCCGGGGAGAATTTCTGGTTGACTCCGGTACCACGTCCTGGTTTCCTGGTTGGCACGTAAAAAACAAAAGAGGCCAGTCCATTTGGCCCGTCGAAGAAGTCGTAACGTAGACCGCGAATTTTGTGGCGGAGCCGAAAACGGGCGGCCTCAAAGAAGTCGCGCCTTTTACATCGACATCGCAGGACAGAAGCGCCTCAGTGTCCTCCGTGCCAAGCAGCTCTGGGCGGCCTAAGGCGAGTGCTTTAATGCTTTGGTGCAGGAACCTGGCGAGTGCGAGGGTGCTTCGAGTTTTTTTTCTTCTTTTTTTTGGGGGGGGGGGGTGGGTTCTTTCTTTGCTTCGTTGTTTCGTTCCGACTCTTCTTGGACAACTTGTTTGGGAAACGCCAGCTTGGTTTTTCTGGGATCATGCTCTATGCGGCGAGCGCAAGGATGTGTCGGGCCGGCTGCAGAATCTCTCAGTTCGAATCCGCCGGAGTTGGCAAGACATGGCAAGACCATGAGGCTGTGACGAGACAAGTTGATAGGGAGCTTCCCGATCATTTTATTGAGGTGCCATCCGCATGTGGCAACTGCCCTCCATCGCGAAACAAGAAGCAAAGCTACAAGCGGATACGCTGGTTCTTGCCGCACTCCAGGGGCAAGTGCACAACAATCGATCCTTTCCAGCAAACCGCAGCAGCTGCTTTTCCCGTGTTCATCCCAAATCCAGCATTGTTCTTAGTCGGAATTCTGTTTTTCAGCTTGTGACAGTTGCCTTTCCCTTTCCCAGCGAAACAATCATGGCGAAACGCAGAGCAGTCCCATTCCGTCTGTGACCGAAGCCCGAGAGGTGATGCTGATCACCCGGGGCACCCGCGGGGACATTCAGCCCTTTGTGGCACTGGCGCGAGGCGCGAATCCGCGCGCGCGGTTGAATCGCTTTGACCAACAAAGAACGACAAGTTCCCAAGTTCCCAACAAACACCAATCATCCGAATAAAACAAATTCACAGAAACAGCATAAAACAACAAACCAAAACAACAAACACAATAATAGCAACATAAAAAGGGTTGGTCTCACCAGCACCTTGGAAGTTCTTTGAAGGTTCTAATTCGTTTGTTTTGTGGCGCCTTGAAATGTCTGCACTTGTGTGCCACAGGGAAGCAAAGAAGGTGTCAAACGAAGAGCTTAAGAGGTCCTATGACTAGATCTTGAGCGAGGTTCACCTTCCTAAACCGATAGCTTTTTGGGTGATGGGTAACATGGGCGTTGCGTGCTACGTGTGTTTGCAGCTCAGCTACCGCAATTTCCAGTCTTGCGCGTTTGATTCTGGGAATCAATCAGGTCCCTCCCAAAAGCAAGCTGAAGGAACCTCAAGGGGAACGGCTTCAAAAGGAAGTAATTAGTCCGAACTATTTCACACCTTTGTTTCGGTCCGATGGTGCGAAACGCCCAATTTGGCCGAAACATGGCCAACTAATGGAACGCTGCAGCTCCCAGCATAGCATATAAGTGATTTCCTTTTGAAGGGACCATCTCTCCGGTGCCAAGGTGGCAAGTGGCGACAACTCCAGCGGCTTTTCAACCTATTCTGTGGTTGAAGTCCGTTGTGTTTCCTTTTCAATCACCAACCAAGAAGGGTTTTCCATCTGAGGATGCCCCCAGACAGCAGCACCCATTTGAGACCCAGGAAGGTCATGTCATTCAAAGCCGGCAGCCGTGTACCGGCCCGAGGGTCTCCAGGCTGCTCTTCCGGGTCACCCTTTTGGAGCGACCCTACCTGCGGTTTTTGCGGAACTCGGGGTGTGGAGTCGTTGTCGGAGGTGGATGGGTGGGGGTGTCGGGTTCTCGCATCACTCGGTCAGGGCTCATCCTGGAGCAGAACTGCGACGTGGTCTTCGTGACGGAACTGCCCTGGAAGAAGTTTGTGAAAGCCGCCACCGAGGCCCGGGGTTTCGGCAAAAAGACGCCACCCAGCGGCCTGGGAAAGGCGCGCCTTTGGACAGGGCGGAAAATTGGGGGACTGCACGGGTCAATGCTTGGAATGTGCAGTGCAACCAAATCGGAACGCTTCATCTTTGCTGTGAGTGGCCAATATTTCTTTCACTTTGAAGCATGCAAAGAGGGAAGGAGAAAAGAGAGAAAGAGGAGGGAAACGAGGATTTTTTTGGGGTCCCCGTTTTTGGTTGAATGGTACTACGGGAAAAGACAGAGATTGGGGGCAGGTCTTGCGAGTTTTCTTGCGCCGGGTCCCGGGCAGATGGTCCCAGGACCTTCCAAGGGGCCGCCTGCGGTTCCGGCCCTGCGGGGGCGACACCTCCCGCCGGGTCTCGGGGGACTTGGCGCGCTACGTGCTGAGCCCGGGCCCTCCGGGCAGAGCGGGAGGGTCTGAGGGTCTGAGAGGGGGCGGGGGGGTTGGGAGTTCCGAGTTCCGCCGGACCAGAAGTGTGCGCTTGATCATGGCGGAGTCCATGCACCTTTTTCTCCGCGAAGTCCAAGTGGGTCTTCCATAGAGGGGGTTTGCCAAGGCTTCATGATGGTCACGGCCACTTTTTCTTTGCGAAGTCCAAGTGGGTCTTCCATTTTCTTCGATTCTAAAATGTGAAGTGGGCTTTGGCGACTCCTTTCGGGGGCCCGAAAGGAATTGAAAGGAGGGTCACTGTCTGTGCGGCGCTTTGGTCGATTGCTCCTCGTGCCAGCTGCCGGGCACAGCGAGGTCTTGCAGAGTCCATGATTGCTGGAGAGTGGGACGTCACCTGGTTGTTTCCATTGGGGTGCTGCACATATTTTTGTCCTGGCACCACATTCGGATTGGGAACCACTCTCAGCTCCAACTTAGCTTCCCAATCATTAGAAACCAAGGCTCATCCAGCGGTACCCAAATCTGCCCAGCGATGGGAGATCGCGTGCAGAGGGAAGGAACAAAGACGATTGACCCTTGGTGAAAGAATCCGGAGCGATCTTCCGCTGTCCAAGTTCTTCGAACCAATCCCTCGTTTGGGTATGTGTCAATCCAGCTTGGGACCCTGCCCACATCTTCCGGTCCGGGTTGTATAATTCACCGTAAAAAAAGGAAGAAAACCCTTTCTCGTCCAACAGCCTACGCTGAGAGCCAACATGGAACCTCAACGGTTTGTGGTGGAGGTGCCTTTGGGTTCCATCCCTTGACCGGAGCAAATGAGCACATGGATAGCTTCCCCCAGCAAATCAAAGAATTGGGATTGATCCCAAAAAGCAAGCCAAGCATCCTCAAGCACTTCCCCTTTCCCGTGTTTTTTTCTCGCTTTTTGCGCCGAAGGGATTTTTCTGGCAATCGATCTTCGAGGCCTGGGCCAGCAGAGCGTGGCCCTGCAAGCCCTAGTCTTCTCCCGGTCCGAGGCCGGGGTTCGCTCGGGGCTCCGCCCTGATGCCAAGTGCGACGCGCAGCGGCCAACACCCCCCCCCCCCCCGCTGCCCCCTCCCCTGCAATTTTTGGGCCACTTTGCTCGACCGAAACCTCAGGATTTGTTGGCCACTTCACCAAAGCCCCCCAATCAATTGGCCACTTGAGGCGACCGAAACCCCGGACTTGTTGGCCAAAACCCTCAAGTGTTGGCCACTTTAGGCGACCGAAGCCTCGATTTGTCGGATTTTGTTGGCCACTTGAGGCGAGGAAGCAGCCACTTCTCCCCCGAAAAAGCGGGGTGCGGAAGTGGTGGCCTCATGTTTCCCGTGTGCGGGGCTTCCAAGCCCGGGGAAGCCAAATGCACGGGAGCCTAGAGGGTGTCGGAATGTAGCTCCCTTCGGGATGTGCTTGGGATCAACTGTTTGGAGTAGGCGAGCTTCTTTGAAGCATCCAAGTCCCGGCATCGGGCGCTAGGTGGAATTCTTCCCCAGCGAGGGGTGCTTCTTTCACTGGGCCTGGGAGGAGTGGATGGGGAGCACTGGGGGCGGGCTTTAGTGTTGTTGTCGGGGGTTTTCCATGGCTGCGAGGTTTTATTGTTCTTGGTTTCCATGTTGTTGTCGGGCTTTAGTGTTGTTCTATGATTTTGAACCTTGGCTGCGAGGCATTGTTCTTGGTTGATGTACAAAGAGGCTACCGCGCGAGAGAGAGAGAGAGAGAGAGCCCCTGCAATTGTTGCAATGACACCTGACGTGCACTGCACTCACGGTGCGCGCTACCTCACGCCGATGCCAGGGCTCCCACCATTTCCCATGGATGCTGGTGATGCTAGCTAAATGAGGTTGTGTTCACGCTGCGCGATTGCCTGCCTGCGGATTAGGGGCAAAGCAACGCGGATTTGTTGGCAGCTGGTCCTGGTTGGAGGTTGTTGCCTTCACGGGGCCTCCCTGACCCTTTTCCGAGGTCAGTAGTCAAGGGGGAAGGAACCCTTCATTCTCTCCAACCTTTGTTTCTGGCTCCTTGCCAAATGAGATCGGGCAATCTCACATGTCGAGAAGCATCTATGGCCCTTCTTCGCAGCGGTCGAAGCCAGGTGCCGCTGGAACCAGTCACCTTGGCTTTGTTCGAAACACATGCATGACATGCACGAGTTCCAGTTAGGCAGGCCATTCTTCCTTCGAGACAAGGGTGATCAGAGTTGCTCCGCTGTAAACGATGATCAGAACACAAAGGACTAAAGTGTAATTAGCCGTAGGTGTGCACTTGCCTCAACTCCCCATCATAGCCCATAAGTGTTCCACATAGACACACACACACACACATTTTGGCTCAAGTGGGACACCAGCCTCCTGAAGTTTTTGGAGTTAGGTCGATCATTTGTTTGTGTTTTTGGGGGCATGTAGTTTTATCGCAACATGTTTCAACGCCACGGCCAACGCGCCGTTTGGCTCAAGTTTTACCTCCGGCATTTAGGTTTTGCCGTGACCGTCGCCATAGCGGTGCGGCGCTGAGCACCGTCTGCCTCCTGCAAAAGAGGCGGCCGGCAGCCGGCGGTGCCGTTCTACGGCGGGTCCGGGTCGAGGCCAATTTGGGGGGTTGCGCTATTGGTTTGCTTTGCTCGCTCGCTGCGCTGCTTTGTTTGCCTGCTTGGTTTGCTGCTTTGTGCTTGCTTTCGGTTGTTTCTGCCCTTGCTGGGTTTCTTACCTTGTTACAACTGGCACCCTGTTTTGGTTCGTGTTTGGCCAGCCGAGGGCACCGCTTTGCCCTTGGGACTGGGGGACTTAAACAATCTCTTCTTGTTGGTGGGATTGGGCCTGTTTATTCTCTCCCGAAATACTGTTTCAAACCCTTTCGCAGGTTATCAGCCGTAGGATTCGTCCTCGGTTGGCACCGCGAACCCCTTTTTAACAACCCTGCAGGCATCGTAGGGTAGTGTAAATAGTATGGCGGGAATCACTGAGGATGGACCTCATGTGGTGACCGATGAATGGGTTCTCGGCCAGGCCGGAATCTTGGACGTTGTGAATGACGACCAAGTGCCCGGACAGCCGATGTTTTCCGGTCCTGACTTTTTGTCGGACCACACTTTTTCAGAAGCAATGCCTTCAGGAAGGTCCAGTGCTACTCGCACTGATGACCTATCGTCTAATGCCTCAAGAGCTAATCGCTCTCAGGGTCATGGGGCTAATCGTCCTGACCATGATGATTCCGTCTCAGGACGTGATGATGACGAGCCCGGTATTGCACCTGGAGCTCAATCCTCATCTTTCCCGGAGCTGATGAATATTGGTCAGTCCGAGTTTCGTGACTCTCAAAGTAGCAGTAGACCTGTGCCAACCAGTAGTATAGTTTTTCAAGCGCTCGGTAATCCCGAACCTGGTACATCCAGTGGAGTTGCATTCGATGTTCATCTGCCGACCGAATCCGGTGGGCTCGATTGGAGAGCCTCATGGCCCAACGACGGAAATATTTTTGGTATGGATTTTGCCGCATGGATGCCAGGGCCACCCGCCCCGTCATCTTTCCCGCAATTCCAAAGCCCAAAACGGGCTGCTGGAAGTGATGAATTCATGCTACCTTTGTCGATTGAGAATCTCAATCCTGATGTGGCCAGCCGTAACGTCAGGCCAAGACCGTCGGTAAACCCGACCATGAGGAACATGTCCCCTCCCCCAGGACTTTCAGGATTTGAGAGCCCTAGAGAGCGTAATATCGTAGATAGATTGGATTTGCATCCCAGTCCGACCCCGAGCAAACGATCAAGGTCAAATTCGACTGGATCGCATAGGGCAAGGGGGATGGATCGGGAAACCGCCCACAGGGGTAACCCCAGTGCGCGGGACTCAGGACGCGGTCGATCAGGTGATCCAGCGTCAATCATTGGTAGAGACCCGCTAAACGCGGACACACTCGTTAACGTGCTTGATGGAATCGAAGCATTCCAGGAGGAATTTAATAGGTCAAGTGGCATGAACGCACAAGGTGTTCGCCCTACGCCCAACGCGGCTTCCATTTTCGCCCTAGACGACATGGACGGAGCAAATGTTCCGATAGAATCTGAATCCATGATGGCATCAAGTTCTAGTCGCAATCATACCATCAGTAATGCGACTGATATTGAATCGATGTCTGAGTCTAGAGTGTCCAATGCGACCGACTTGAATGACATTGTTATTGCTGACTCGAGACCTGATGTTCCTATGCGAATGGATAGGCCTGTTGTTCCTAAACTGCCCGTGGCCAAAGGCCTGGGCATGACACAACCCTCTGCGGTTCGTGATGCTAGGAGATCTGCTCCGTATCAGAGTCAATCTCCTAATCGGAGTGAGTTTCCACGGCCATCAACGGCCGTGCAGGATGATTTCAGAACTCCTCCGAGATCTAATCCAATCATGGTTGATTTGTCCACTCCTCGAGATCGCGGATCAGGATTTGGTCCTACGAGTGAGGAGCAACCCAACGAGGTTGCTGATCTTGTAACAGCCCTTGAAAGAGGGAGAGTGGACTCTTCGGTAAGTGCGATTATTCATCGCCTGGTTGCTAAGGTCGAAGACCTTGGTCGTAGGAATGATAGAAGTGATCAATGCATCAAGCAGCTCTCCACTGAGGTTACTCGTGGAGGGCCAAATACGACCAATGCGTCCATGTGAGTGGCACGTGTACGCAGGCTGCGAACGCGGCCATGCAGCTATCACAAGGGACTAAGGACATCGTGACCGAGCTTGGCCAACGCGTCAAGATCGTTGCCGATCGCATGATAAGCATAGGCGATGCCCTAAACGAGCGAGCCAGCTACGATGATGTTGCTCGCTCCATCACCCAGGTTCAAACTGTTTTTGAATCTCTTTCTGATCGAGTAACCGGGCTTATAGCTCGTGTTGATATGATCGAGAGATCTCTAGTGGAGAGCCAATCCAACCATCCTGCTATTGGTGGAGTAAACCTCAAAATCGAGGACCTGTCCACTAGGGTATGTCAGATTGATAGGATGATGCAAGATGTCGAACAACGCTGGACCAATAATAGGGACGGCATAAAGTGGGTTAAAGACCAACTTTATGAGACACAAGCCAACCTTGAGATGAAGTCAAGGGACTGCAAGTCCTACACGGACAAGCAAAATACTCATAACATGGCCGTTTCGACTACGCTCAACAGTAAGCTCGAGCAAATGCTCGAGGTGCTGGGTAATACGGCCCAGAGAATCAGCTCCATCGAGTCAAGGCACTCGAACCAGGCCTCAAGTAGTGGATTGAACGATCACACAGGAGGAAGGCGAGCCGCGTCCCGTACTCCGGATAAGCGGCCACCTCCACCTGGCCCTCCTGATGGTGATCCTCCACCACCTCCTCCTCCAGATTGGCAAAGCCCAGGAGGAGGGGGGAAGAAGAGTGCTGCCGGTGGGAACCCTGGCAACCCTGGTAAACCCAGATGTAAATATGTAGGTGATGGATATAATCATCTCATGGCTGAGTTTCACTGCAAGGGATGCAGAGGTGATATTTGTGAGTATTGTTTCTCGTTTAAAGAGAACCTGTGTGAAGAGTGTTCCCGTAACGGACCCCGATGCGGTGTCTGTAGGGAGAGCTCGTTCCTGACCAAGGGAATTGAGTGTCAGTTTTGTAAGACCTACTACTGCACCAGACATTCTGCTGGGCAGGATGACTACAGGAGATTTGGATTTGTCCAGGGTCCCTGTTGTCTTGCGTGCCTTAGGGACGAGACTAGGAGAAGAAGGGATCCCGATGGTAACCGTGTCAGGAATAGATCGCCTGGAGGCGTACCTGAGACGAACCCGACGCGGTCGTTCTCGCCGCCTCTGCGGCCACCCGTTGACAGATTCCGTGATACCCCAAATGGAGGTCAACCCAACGCGGCTAACCTTCAGAGTCCTCCGAAGGCTACGCAATCCGTGCCCCTGGATAAACGTGAAACCGGATATTATCCAGGATTTGATCCCAACGGTACAAGGCCGAAGGATCCTTCGGGCCTTGAGCCGCCGACCATGCGTGGCCCCGATCCTCCTGACAAGAAATGTCGGATGTGTGATCGGGATATTCCTGACCCCAGCAAAATTGAGGAATGTAAAATATGCATGAAAAGGGCATGTGAGATTTGCATTCCGAAGGCTACACGCCTTTGTCCTGTGTGTGCATTGTCAATCGGTAGTTCTCAGGTTCCACAGCATCTTTTCGGAACTGGTGGCGGCGGATACAGTAGCCACCATGATCCGAACTGTACAGCTGCGACTAAGTGCATTTCCATAGACCTCCCGCCAGAGCCCGACGCGGCTGGGCTGAGGGTATGGATAGCCAATATGAAGGAAGCTGTTAGCAATGCCTACAGCTATGATGGACTTTACGTCATCAATTGGCTAACTGAAGTCGAGAAGGCAAAGACCTTTGATGAACTGGATGGGGAATGTAAATACCACATCCTTGAAGCCAGGTTCAATGCAGCCATTCGGAAGTGCATCAAGACTGTTGCGATCATCGATAAGATTAATCGTCTCACCGAAGCCGCTC